TAGAGAAGCAAACATGAGAAATGTTTTGTTTGAGAGACTGTCCATATTTGCCCAACGCTGCCAAATTGAGCAGAGAAGGTCGAGACACTTGAGCGACGCGTCCCCCTGTGCGAAGCGAGGTGGGGACAGATGGACAGAAGATGCTGGAGTGGAGCTTAGGATCAGTTCATCCGCTCCTTTCCTGGCTCCCGCTCAACTCAGCGGGATGTCCTGTTAGTCAGCTAATGAAGAGCACCCTCTGCATCACCACCCCCGTATCARGATCTGACACGGCTGTCTTCATTTAACCTTTACTTATACCATCAAGTCTCACCGAGACGACCCCCCCRTCTTTTGTCCGCACCAGCCAGAAAAGACATTTGGGAGGTGAAGCTTTATAGCATTTGGCAGGAAATTTACAACTTTATGCGAAGAGGGCTGAAAGAGTAAAAAAAAAGTGTCATAAGAGTGTGAAGTTGCTTCTAGTATGGTTAATAAAGACAACAAAGAAGGAGACAGAAAAACCTACAAAGTAGTTCAAAAGCTTCATGTGGATTCAGGATTTTTAATTATCACCTATTGTTGAAGGTGGAACATAATGTTTATGCTTGTGTGTGTGTTTGCGTGTGCACACGTGTTGAACCATTACTTAAATATCTCATGAGCCACAGGACGAAAACTGAAAGGGAACAGTGTTCTCAGATGCAGGCGCATTTTAAATCTGTATTAATGTCGATKAAGTAATGTCATTTATGAAGACGTAATCGTTCATTTTTTTAGACATGGTCTCTATTTGAGATTAAAAAATATTGAATGAATAAACCCATCAAAGATTTATGTGTAGCTCTGTTATTTTTTTTGTCACATCCTACGTATGTTGGTCATTGCTTGTTTCAAGGAAATCCCCACATAAATTATGTTAATGAAATTAACCAGGGAAGTGTGAGAGTTGAAGCTGCCAGGCTCTGAATCTCTAATGCCTCCCCGTCATCTTTGGGGAAAAAAAAACWGATTAATTTCGAAATTGGCCGCAGTGGAGAGTGATTAATTCCTCCTGGATTCAACCATTTAAACGAACAAGGCAGAGGGGAGAAGGGAAAACACAGGGACCAAAAATATGGATGCATAATTAATACATTTAGATCATTCAATTAGCCACCCAAACAGAGGGAATGCTCAGCCACACTGTGTCAGTGCTTTGTTCATGCAGAAGCCAGATCGTTTACTCTTACAAAGTATCAAACATAATGAGCCTCCGTGCTGAAAGAGGTAATATTGGCCTATCTCTTTGGTTAGTAAATATGAGGAGACAGAACACATGATTACTTGTTTCTTTGATTTTTCTTGCTTCTGACCAAGCAGAATAAAAAGAGAAAATAAGCAGATTTTTAAGTCTTTAGATAAGTGTCTAATGATATCTTTGAAAGCAGCTTTTGACACTTGAATGAATCAATGAGTTTTGAATTTTAACAGTACGTGTCTATTTTGTTCTTTTACAGATTGATATGAAGATCAGTTAAGGAGGATAATATCACTTCTCAGCACATCCCCACTCGGGAAGACCTCAGCTTTGCCTGCACGCATTCCTGTTTGTCTGATTTTGGTGTTTCCTCGAGTCCTGCTGGGATGGGGGCATGCTCAGAGAAAAGATGGACTCACTGCAGCCCCAGTAAAGGTCACCACCCTCCAAAAGTCATGACATGGCCCTTGGCCCTGTGGCTATTGACTCTAATCTCCGTGAATCAGAAGACGACTTTCGGACAGACGATGAACTCCTTCCAATCAGAGAGGAGGGAATGGTCGTTGAACCATCTGACGGTGCATCAGTCCACGGGGGCGCTGTATGTTGGAGCTGTCAACCGAATCTACAAGTTGTCTGCTAATCTCACACTCCTGGTGTCCCACGATACGGGGCCAGAGTACGACAACAAGGCATGTTACCCTCCACTGATTGTCCAGCCTTGTTCGGAGCCATTGGCCTCTACGGACAATGTTAACAAACTCCTGCTAATCGACTACTCTCACAATCGGCTGCTGGCCTGCGGCAGCCTCTATCAGGGCATCTGTAAACTGATGAGGCTTGATGACTTGTTCATCCTGGTGGAGCCCACGCATAAGAAGGAGCACTATCTGTCCAGTGACAACCAGACGGGGACGATGTACGGGGTTGTCGTTCCCTCCCAGGGCCAGGATGCTACGCTGTATATCGGCTCTGCTGTTGGCGGCAAACAGGATTACTTCCCCACCATCTCCAGCCGTAAACTCCCCCGTGATCCAGAATCCTCTGCCATGCTGGACTACGAGCTTCACACCGATTTTGTTTCGTCCCTAATCAAAATCCCTTCAGACACACTGGCCCTCGTTCCACACTTTGACATTTACTACATCTACGGCTTCTCCAGCGGAAGCTTCGTCTACTTCATGACCGTCCAGCCGGAGACCCCGGAGAACGGGATGCCCGCGGGCGGCTCCCCCGGCGACCTTTTTTACACATCACGCATCATTCGCCTCTGCAAAGGCGACAAGAAGTTTCACTCGTACGTCTCGCTTCCCGTGGGGTGCGTGCACAAAGGCGAGGAGTACCGTCTGCTGCAGGCGGCTCACCTGTCCAAAGCCAGCAGGGCGCTGGCAAAGTCGCTCAACATCAGCGCTCAGGAGGACGTGCTCCTTGCCGTGTTCTCCAAAGGGCAAAAGCAGTACCACGACCCTTCGGATCATTCGGCTCTCTGCATTTTCACAATCCAAGACATCAACGCGCGCATTAAAGAGCGGCTGCAGTCTTGCTACCAGGGAGAGGGAAATCTGGAGCTGCACTGGTTGTTGGGGAAGGACGTGCAGTGCACCAAGGCGGTAGGTGGACACCAGAGAGGTCACACCAGCTCGTAGCGCGCACATTCAGGTCGGCTATGATTGCTTAACAATTGTGAGTCTCGACACGGATTTAACAAAAGGTGGCAGTTTGATTATCCCATAACTGTGATTACAACTTTAACAGCAAAGAGGCAGGCAGCATGATTTTCAATAATAAAAAAAGCATTCAAGTCTGAGGATCCCATTATAGCAGAAGAGCTGGGGGAGATTAATTCCACAATGCTAATCAGGGGAGTTTTGAATGGAGCTTTGATTTCATTCAGAGGTTTGGGCACTGATTCCCACCTCTTTCCCCACCTCTTTTTCTTTGCCTCTCCCAATTTTGTGAGCCCCCCCCCCCCCATCTTCCCACTCTTGTCGCTGTCAGCAGTACTCGAACCCTCAGAGACCTGTTCTTGATCCTTAGAAAAGGGCTTTCTTGTAAACGTCCAAGTCTGAGCCTTCGTGAAAGCCATAATTCTGCATAATGAGCGGCTCTCATAGAAAGAAGTTTAAAGCAGCCCATAAAAACAAAGAAATCCATCAGAAAAATTGCTCTAACGATTCCAAACCTGTACTTTCGTTCCACCGTGCGATCACATAAATAAGACGTAATGTTAATCATAAAAGAAACCCATTGAGACAAGTAATACGAATAATTCAATAATTGTTTCTCACTGTGCAGTTAAGCAAAAGACTTTGTATAATGACAGGCAGAAATAACTGGTAGGGCACATGATTAATTTGCCAGTGGACTATCAACAGTAATAAAACAACAAGCGTTCTCTCTCAGCTGTAAATTCTGACGTTGGAAAAACATTTTATTTTAATTGAAATAGAAATTGGATTGACACCACATTAGGAGCTGTGGCTATTAGAGGCCATTGTTTTAAGCATTCTCACTGTAGCAAAAAGATGAATATTTCAAAAAATGATGGAAGGGTTGATCTCTTTTTTTCTAGTTACTGACTATGTCGCTCTCCATTTTAGTATTTCAGGCTGCAGAACAGGGCAGGATTTAATTTTGGCTGTATTAATCTCCCCAGCAGTGATTTGATTTTGACTCTGATTTGGCATTGCTATTGAACGGATGGAGTTCGACTGTGATTAAATAGCAGCTGTGAATGTTGAGTACTTTCTGSTACTAGAGGCTTTTGTTGGTGTACACAATTGGGAAATTTTACAACAAATTTATAAGAGGCAAACAAAATGGTATTTGTGTAATTACTGATTCAAGTATTCACACTGTTGGGATCCCGTTTCTCTTTACTTTTTAATTATTTCTTCYTCAATGTTTTATTAACATGAACAGGAGCTACTTCTGCATAATTYGTGCCATTTTARCCATTTCAGGGTCAAAACATTCAGCTCATTCAGGTTATTTTACTTTTATATGTTTTAAAATAAACTTTACTGTTCTAATTAAACAACAAGGCGCCTTCAGAAAATTTCTTCAAAGTCAGGAGCATTTGCACTGAATTTTTGCAGAAAATGCAAAATGTCCATGCATATAACCTCTGTTTTTCATCTCTTGAATGAGCATACATTAAATTCAACAGTTGTTAATATTTTTAAACATTTTTTTTATATTCTAGGGCCCAAATTATGGTATTTTTTTGGATGACACTAAAGCCATAAAAATGTTTTACATCATCAGCTTCTATGTAAAAATTCTTGCTCCTTTTCAGAACCACTAACATGTCCAATATTTGGGATCAAAAGAAAATGTGCCCTTGAAGGAAAGCTGAATGATTTCTAAAGCATATTTCAAAAGACTTGAGGTCGGACAAGAGAGATAGAGAGAGGGAGTTGGATGGGGTAGGAAAACAAGTTTATTTATGCTGAGCTCACTGATCGTATTCGGTAAAGATCAGACAAATCATTTGATGAAAGAAAAAGCCCAGTGAATGCTAACATGTTCACACGAAGCAGGAGAAATGAAACGAGAAATTAACAGGCTTAAAAAAGGTGTCTTTATATACTAAGTGACAGGCAATTAGCGGAGGTTTGAGGTGCGTGTAAGTTGATCCAGTTGGACCGCTGAGCGCGGAGCCTCGCTTTGATGCTTAATCAAAACCTGACATCTCTGGTGCTGTGTGTTTGTGTGATGTCAGATCAAGCAATCCAAATAAAATCACAGAAACGGGCACAAAAATACACACTGTTTCTCATGTTTGCCATGAGTAATTAAGTGTGCGCCATAGATTTGCCCGCTCCAAGGCTTGTTCAGAAGCCCAGCGGTCCAAACCCTTTTGATGTAACAATTTTAACCATGAAAACTCTGCACTTAAAGCTCGTTAGGCTCACTATAAGTCAGTCTGGGTTCTCGTCTTTTACTCACGTTTGTCTACATTGATCGAACTCCCTCACTTATTTTACTCTTCTAATAATCTCTGCTCCCCACCTACATCTCTCATCCTCTTCTCCCTTTTTTCTTGTTTACTTTCATCCCTTCAAAAACACATTTTCGTCTTCATTTTTTTGTTGTTTCCTTCATCCTCACCCTCACACTTTGCCTCTCTCTCCCACCACAGCCTGTGCCCATAGACGATCACTTCTGTGGCCTGGATATAAACCAACCCCTGGGAGGCTCCCAGCTGGTGTCAGGTCGAACAGTGTTCACCGAACGAAGGGACAGGCTGACCTCTGTCACTTCCTACATCTACAACGGGCACAGTGTGGTCTTCCTGGGCACCAGGAGCGGGCAGCTAAAAAAGGTGAGAGCAGCAGAGCAGCAACAGCCACTGCCAAGCACGACAGGCTTTAATCTATTTTCTATCCAGGGATTATTCAGTTTTCTTTTCGAATGATTGAGTATTATCCTCAGGTAACCACAGAAATTCTTATGATAGTAATTTTCAAACCAAAACAGAGCAGTTAATCTTTATGTACCACTGATGCAAAATTTAACCTCCGAATTGCAGATGGGTTTTGTGGAAATGAGTCTGATGTGGTGCTCACTAGGAGCTATTTCTATGTTTCTCTAAAACAATCCACTGATCACAGCTTACTATGCAAGATTAAGAATGAATATCAGCTTTCCACAGAGCAGCTTAACAAACAAAAAAATATATCTGAACCGAATGTRGATGAGGGCTTGGAAGCCTAAAATCTTGCAAAGCCCCAGTACAACAATCATTTTTTGGACCATGTTATTACCAACATACATTTTTAAATGGCTGATTGTCGTAATCGCTCTTCATTACTACTGCTTCCAGGACTTCTACAGATAAAATGAAACAATAAATATGATCAGTTTGGTGATACGACGGAATAAAAGCATTTGAACCATCCTGGGATTTGTGTTAATGTGATCAGATGAAAAAGTAATACAATTGTTACAAAAGGTATTAAAATGTTGACTTTTCCATTTGAATGCTTCCAAAGAGGATTGGTCAACCTGTACGCTCAATACACACAGATCTCTGGCAACTTTCAACGCTAAGCAGTGAGATAAACAACGGTTAAGTCTTCAGTCTTTGTTTTTGTCTTTTCAAATTTCTCATCATCCATGTTGTGATAAAATTTATGAGTTATATGTTCAGACGACCGTGAGCAGCAACATATTTAGCTTGAGGGGTTCGATGTTGAATTTGCAGTTGGTTTTGTTTGCCAAGAATTTTCGGTACCATTTTACAATAAGACTCCCCTTATAGATGTCTTTTAAAGAGTTTATAGATAGGTTATTAATTTATCTGTAAACAGCCATAAAAATAAATGTAAAGGTGCAGTTTACAAGTCAGACTAGTTTTTTTAACTTTTGCGTGATTCTTCTTTTTTATTTTGAAGATTTGATTAAAAAAACCCTTTCAAGGCCCCATGCATACAGCAATAATATGTTTCTCCATCAATCTGAGGTGCTGACAAAAAAATGAAATAAAACTCTGACACTWCAAGATTAAATCTACACACCAGTGACTTAGTAGAGCGCTTTCATAAAGTCTGAGGACGTATGAGAGACAGAGCATGAAAAGAATTGTTCAAAAAATACAGAATAGTGTTGTGGAGCTTGATGTAATCTTTTTCCACAGRCCTTCTTTGATTCATAAAGGCTTGTATCTTTGGATCTGCACAGTATTCAGGCTGCTTTTTTGGACAGTTGCAGCAGTCGTACAAGACAGATATTCAAAATGAATCAAGCAAAAATCAGTCGAACCTCCTTGTGTTGCACTTCAGTTAAACAATTTGTCATACTAAACATTAAAAACMTTTGTCACAAATGGTGAAGCGACCAACATCTGCAGCTACATCTCTGATGTCACCATCCTTAGTCCATTAACAGCAATTAAAGCAATAATAAGCCCAATTATTATCYAATTAGCATATGTTAAATATGTCTTGATAATATGCCGGGACAGTTTGCATTTGCACAAAAGGAGCACTAATCACACATATTTTGTGCTTCAGCCTTTAGCGGAGCACAAATTGATGTAAATCTCCATTTAAGGCAGCTTGAGCCAAGAACTGGAGTACACACACGTTCCTTTAAATCCTTTGTAATAACTAAAAGTAAAGAGGGCATTATGCACCTGTAGGGGCTCTTGTAAAACAGAATCCTGGCACCATTTAGCATTACAAATCACCTGAAGGATCGTTTCAGCAGTGCGGAGCATTCGTTTTGCTTCACACTCCACCAAAACTAGATACAGGTGTCCTGTTCACACACTGTGGTTGGATGTCTCCTGAAAGTTGTAATGTGATCAAAGAAAATGCAGTGATTTAAGTGGGCCATGGGTCCATTTCCCCCCTAAATCCTGATAATGGTTTTCAGTTCATTAAAGGTGACTGAATACATTAATGAGCATCGCCTGTGGATACCTAATATAGATTATTCCTCTGTGCCTCAGACCTCAGTTGGTCTCTAAAAACTATTAAAAGACATCACTGAGCCTCACGCTGAGAGAAATGTTCCTAATTTATTTTATTACTCTTTGTAAAACAGAGCTATGCTCTTTTATGAAATACTCCAAAACGCTGAAACAAATCCAGCCATTCCAGTTGGTGAGGAGGAGACAAAGATAAAACAAAAACKCTGAGGATGACCTCTCTGATTTATTCATGAAGCGGAAACAGCTCATTGTCCATCATGGTTATTTCAAGTGCAGATGGTAAAACCTTTGTCATGATTGAGTTCTAAGATCTGAGTGGACTGACTTAGGAGGTCTGTGGGCTCTGTTTACTGCAGCCATATAACACACAGCTGACTGAGGAAATGTGTGAGAGCACTGTTGTGACATTAGCCCGGGGGCCCGAGTCTTACGAGGAGCAATCTGTCTGACACACAAGATACACACGCACGCACACACACACACACACACCCAGGTCCAGACTGGGGGCACAGATAGCATCACTGCAGCTCTTTCATTTGATGAGCCATTGGGGAATAAGAAGAGATAGCCTGACAGTAAGAAAGGAAGGACGGGAGTAAAGAGGAAGTGTGATGGGAGACAGAGTAATGGCCAAGAGAACAAAAGGGAAACAACAAACAGAGAGGAAGGAAGACAAAGATATTACAAAAGAAAACAATTAGAACCAGAAAAATGAGAATTTTCTGCAAAAGAACACTGAATTTGCTGAAATATGTGGATGAAGCAAGAACTGAATTGTCAATGCGAAACAGGTACTAAAATAAAAAAAAACAGTAGCTAAAAGCTAAATTTAGCAAAATTATATCTGAAAGCGGAAGCTAGTAGAATGGTGGTTAAAGGCTAAAGTAAGCTAACAGTAGCTAAAACTTTAAATTAGTACAACAGTAGCTAAAAGCTAAATTGAGCAAAATCATAGATGAAAGGTGAAGCTAGTAAAACAATAGTTAAAGGCTAAAGTAAGCTAAATCAGCGTTTCCCAAAGTTAGGGTCGGGACCCAAAGTGGGGTCCTGAAACATCAAGGTGGGGTCCTGAAAAGATTTTTTGAATTAATTACATTTTTGCCTTAATTGTTACAAAAGGAGTGAGGTTAGTGAATCTAAAATGGATAAATGTAATATAAAAATAGTTACTATGCCCATGTTTTTGTTGATCTGATACAAATGTTTATYATCCAAAACTAGCTGGGGGCACAGGTCTCTGCTACTGTTATTTTGTGGGTCAAAAGCTGAAAAGTTTGGGAACCACTGCACTTTGGTTCCCAAAGTTGGTCTTGGGACCCAATTATGGGTCATGAAGCACCTTGGATAATCTCCAGAAATCAATTTAAAGGGTAATAATATAATTGCTGATGTAATATTTTCCCTATAATTATTACAAAAACACAAAATAAGTATAAATAAGTATTTATATTTGTGTACAAGCTGTTCAGATTGTCAAAAAGCCTGTGTTTTTAGGGTTATTAATGAAGTTCGTGTACTCAGACCAGTAATATTTGGGGTCACAAGTTTTTGCCATGGATATTTTGTGGGTCAGAAGATAAAAAGTTTGGGAACCACTGAGCTAAACAGTAGCTAAAACTTTAAATTAGTTTAACAGTAGATACATAAAAGCAAAAATTAGCACAATAGTATTTAAAAGCTAAAATGAACAAAATAGCAGCTGAAAGCAAACATCCAAACAGTTAACAAGTAGTTAACAGTAGCTAAACTTACAATTAGCAGATCAGTAAATAAAAGCTAAGATAACCACAACAGTAATCATAAGCTAAAGCTACTGTGCTCTGTACAACGACAATAAAGGTTTATTCAATTCAATTTAATAGCAGCTATAAGCTAAAATGAGCAAAACAGCTACAATAGCATTAACAGTAGCTACAAAGTAAAATTTGTAAAGCTGTAGCTAAAACCAGCAAAACAGTACATAAAACTTAAAAACAGTATTTGATTCTTAAATTGGCAAAACAATTGCAAAAATCATAAAACTAACCAAGTATTAGTGAAAACATAAAATTAGCAAAGCAAAAATTCAAAAGCTAAAATGTGCTAAAATAAAATTGTGATTCATTTAAACAGAACCAGTTATGAACTATAGAAACCGGAAAACAACAAAGAAAACCAGTAAAAGACAAAAAGAAAAAAAAAACACTGGAGAAAAAAAGAAAGTTTGTTCATGCGAACTGTAGGTCTGTGTGAGCAAAGCAAAACATCCATCACGACTGCAGTTGAGTCCGGAGCAACTAAAGGCCAGAGTTTCAGTCATTACACCGACCGAACGAGCAGCCATGATCTCAGACTCCCAGGAGCCTCCGAGGAGCTCAGGGTCACTTCTCCAATCCTGTTCCATCACACCCAAATGGACAGGCTCAGTGGAAATGAGGCATGACTACAAATGCCATCAGCGGATCACTGCAGTAGCAAAGGTCAAGCCTGCCACTGAAAGGGTGTCAGCGGGGTGAAAGGTCACAGGGATAACCATCAGTCTCTCTCATTGTGCAGCATATGGATGCTCTCATCAATGAAACTTGATTTAGCTTCTTGTGTTCCAGAGACAATGGGACATTTTTGTCATCACGTGTCACTGTTTTCCGTATGACCTTAATTTAAGTTGATAAATGTGGTCCTTTTTGGTAATTCTGTACTGAATGCCAGTGTTGTATGAAGTACCACAAAGTGATACTTGAGTAAAAGTACAAGTATCTAACCAAAAAATTACTTTACTTGAGTAAGTCTTAAAGTATCTGATATTTCTTGTACTTAAGTATTAAAAGTAAAAGTATTGATTTAAAATGAGCAGTTAGATTTTCTTAGGACATTTATTAGGAGGTGATCTCCCCCCAAAAAATGCAGAA